AAACTGAGTGAGGATTAGCAGAAGCTCTCAGTGGCATTTTTTGTAACTTTTCTTTACCTCTAAGACTTCTTAAAAATAAAAAAAATGTTTTTAAATCTAGACCTGGTGCCCTTTTGGGAGCCATGTTTTGATACTGATTCAATTTTTTTTTTTTTTTTTTGTACCAGGGATCGAACTTGGGTCCTTGAGCTTGCACAACAGGCGGTGAAACCACTAGTTAAATCCCCAGCCCTGATACTGATTCAATTTTATTATTAGTTATTGGTCTGTCTAGGTTTTATATTCATTCTCAAGGCACTTTTAGTCATTTATATTGTGCTGAAAAGTTTCTCATCTCAACTGTGTTTTCAGTATTTGGCATGGTATTCATTTATATAACTCTCTAATAGGATTTGAAATCTCTTCTGGGTTTGTAGTAACATGACCTTTTTTATGATTACTATTGTTCATTTGCGCTTTCTCTTCCTGTTTCTGTGTTTATCTCTTCCTGAGTTTCTCTTCTTCTATTTGCTGCTTTGGTTAGAGGTGTGAGGGCTTTGCCCTTTTAATTAGGCTTTCAAATAATTTGTTTTAGTTTCATCTGTTTTTTTATTGTTTTCTATTTTCAGTAATTTCTAGTTTCATTTTCATTTTTTTTCATTTTTTTTCTTTGAGCTCATCCTATTACTCTTTTTCTAACTTCTTGGACTGAATATTTTTCTCATTCATTTGCCATCTTTTTTGTTTTCTGATGTAGGCAGTCATAGGATATAGTTATTTCTTCCAGCTCTCTATTTTATTACATCATTCAAGTTTTAGAATGGAGTGTTTTCATCATTGTACACTTTTTAAAATTTTTACTTCTGTCATAACTTAATCCTTTGACCATGGATTATTATAAGTATGACATTTTATTTTTTTGGTACCAGGGATCGAACCCGGGACCTTTTGCACTTGTGAGGCAGGAGGCAGAACACAAGTATGACTTTTTTTTTCTAAGTAGATGAGACTTGCTATTATTTTATTCCTAATTTTATTTTATTAAAACTTGGCTATTCTTACAGTTTAAATGGTATTCTCATCATTAGGCACAATTTTATTTTAAAATTAATTTTATTGGTACATTTTAGGTATACAATTCATTTACATTTATCATTAGGTGTTTGTACCTGTACATGATATATCTTGGTTCTTATTTTTTTTCCCCATT